CCACATCAGGCCACATAGTCAGTGGTAGTGTGACAATATGCGGATAGGTGGCATTTGAATTAAGTGCCGTTCCAACGCAGACCTGTGCAGGAATGGAAGTAAATAATATGAATGGATAACTGCAACTTGTTATAATTAAAATCAACAACAGATGATACCGAGAATAGTCCCAAACCTGAGTGAAATTCGAACCAAAGGCAGCACGGGTGAGCAACCACAGATAGTAGAAAGAATAAATAAACTTGTGAATAAGAATCGGAAAACGAATACCAAGATATATTTCTATAAGGTTCGGAGAAACTCTACAATTACGAGAAATAATCAATAATTGATGATCAATTATAACTGAAAGTCTCCGTATGGTATGGGGCTGGTCATCCTGCTCTGTGTTTCATCTACATTTCATTTCAACGTGGAAACAAAAACATCGCACGGAACCCCCGTAAATTTTCAATAATTGGTGACAATTTTTTCGCATAATGTGAACTTCACCAATGCGCCACTCAGAATCGGCCTAATTCAAGCAACAGATTTGCAGGTATTCGTTTTCGCGTGATCACAGGCTCGCCGAATGGCCACTGGAGAAATTGGCTCATTTAAAATATAAGAAATGACGGCTGGGAACGAAACGAAAGAGGTTAAACGGTGGACAAAGCGACACTGGTGGCCTGACTACAGTCACATATATCATGATAAAGTTCACATGAGGGTTTGCTCGTATAGCGGCCTCAACGACGGGCATGACCTGGTTCTGCTCCCACGGTGACGCACCATGACAGCACAAACGTCGGTACAACATCTGTACACGAGCCGGAAAACTGGCCGATTGACCACTGGGTGACTGACTCATCACCGAGCTCTCAAGCCTAGACGTACACACGTACATACACAGCACAGCACAAAAAGACCAGCTGGTATGTGTCTGTCTGTGTGTATGTGCGCGCGCGCGTTTACATGCGCGTGCCACCTGGTCACAACTGCCATTAGATGACCGAGAAAGACAAGCGGAAGCGACACTTTCGGTCGATTAGCTGCTGTGGGGTGAGTGTTAGTGAATGAGTGAGTGACAGAGATGGAAACGCGCTACTGTATTCAGGGAAAGCCCACTTTGATGGAGAACTATCAACAGATGCTGCCTTTTGGCCAAACCGATTGTCTACCGCGAATCAAAGGGATCATAGTGTGAAATAAGCGGAGCGAGATTCCGACTACCAGCTAATGCATTTCACCTATTTCACCTATCTTCAGCTTTTAGTTCGTACAACCATTAACCATTCAATTTCGTGAGCCGGTTTTGGGTTGCTGTCTTACGGCTGTCCATAAGAGGAGAGAGAAAGATGAAGATAGAGTCGAATGGAAAATGGAGTTCAGTAAAGTGAGGTTGCAAAGAAATTGAGAAAATAAACAAACACCGTTTGCGACACAGCCATATCACTCAGTGCCTCTAACCATTCCTTACAATGTCCACTTGCTCTTACTTCCCTAGTCGGAGCGAGACTGGGTGCTGGACACACCCAGTCTTGAAGCAACATTTTGCACTTGGAAGGTGCAAAACGCAAACTGAACATGGCTACGCTGGCACTCAAACTATCTAGCAAAGCTTGCAACTTACCTGAATATTCATTTAGTAGTACAATATCGTCTGCATACTCCAGATCAGACAATTTGTCATCCGGGAGCAAATCGGTGCTACTATCCGCGCACGAGAACAGGGCTGTTTCTGTGATCAAATTTATAACAAAGTTAAATAGAAAAGAAGAGACAGAGAGGGCAACCCTGACGAACACCGCTGATGAAGCCCAAAGAGGTCGAAAGTTTTAGTGTTTCCAAGCTTTTCATTGGCCCTATTTACGACAAATTCCTTCTTTGGAACACCACTTTCTGTGGTGAACTCGGACGAAAAATTGCCGTAAGCTCGGACTCCACTTCGGTTATTTGTATAAAGGGACCGCAATATTGAAAAAAACTTTCATGCCATCCTTCAGAGAAAGGCGATGCCACAGTTTAGAGCGGTCGGCTGAGTCGAAATCCGCTTTCAGATCCGGGAAGACAGGGACGCGGAGTCTAAAAATTAATTTCAGTGCTCTAGAATGTAGCGAAGGGTGAAAATATGGTTTATACAACCTCTTCTAGGTCTAAAACCAGTCTGAATCTCCCGCGTGCACCGTTTACGTGCGGCACACGATCGACCGAGTATGTAGCCAGTGAGAAGTTTAGGGGCAACGTTGATGAAACTAATTCCTCTGTATTTTCCACAAGAGAACCTGTCACAATTTTTGTAAATCGGTAAGATGACTAATTCACACCATTTAGCTGGAAGCTGTTTGCTCTCCCATACCGAACCCAGGAGTTTCATCAACTCCAAAACAAACACTGACATTCCATCCTTAAACGCCGATGGTAACAGCCCATGGGGACGAGAGGCCTCATGCGTTCCGGGATAACTTATTTTCCCGGAAACATCCATTTCAGATGGAGGACTGGCATCAACTGGGAGTATTTGCCCAGTAAAAGTGGCGGGGGGATAAGTCAGATGTTGACGCGGGCCAGTTAAACTGAGCCTCGAAATACTCAGCCCACCGTTTACGACGGCGGTGCTGATAACGAATCAGTGTGCCATCGGATTCTTAACTACCTCACTCGCGCCTTTCCCCTGGGGCCCGTATTCCTAATTAGACGGAAAAGAGTGCGACTATTACCAATAGCCGCAGCTTTCTCCACCTTGCTACACTTTCCTACCCACCACTTCTAGCGGACATTACTCAGACTTTTGATGAGCTGGTTTTTAGGTGATTCGCGCGCTGTGTCATATGTGGCATCAGGAAGAAGGGTTCCATGGGTGTTCAGCAGAGCACCCGAGGTCGACGAGATCCATCATTTGTGTTGAGTCTGCGCTAGAGTCCGCCGCTGTCTTTATCAGTATATGCGTAGCTTCCATTATTTAGTTTCAGCGTTCTGGTTATTATGAGTGAACAGCAGGCCCTCGTGATTATGGAATTTAACCTTTTTGCTGATCAGATGATGATGATGACGATGCGTATCAGTAATAGCAATGGTAGCGATACTGAGCGACTTGCAAACTACAGGAAACTCGCTTAACTTGCTTGAAGAAATAAAAAGCAGTACCCACTTACGAACGTTGTTAAGTCTTTCAATTCAGGGGCTGTGATCACTATATTCACAATTAGCCGTGCTAGGAACGCATTATAATTATTCAGATGGTGTTTTACAATCCCAGATATGTATCAGAAGGTAAATGAAGCCATTATAACAAATGAGATGAGCTAGAAAAAAGTGAGAGTAATTCCTCGCACAACTCCCTCACCTCAATCAAGATACACCTGCACAACCACGCATGACCAAAGTGATATATAGGGATAATCTCAGTGTAACATCAAAGATCAACCTGGTATTATTATATTGTCTGACACGAGGATAATGGACGGTATACTGTGCACACGGGAATGCTGTGGCTGTACAAATACAAACACACACATACAGAGAGAGAGAGAGAGAGAGAGAGAAACGAGTATCGCCTAACACGAAGTGAATATGCCACAATACAGTGCGGATCAATAGGACCATTTGCTCTCTCAGTGCAGCTCCGGACTGGATGGATACGGTCAACATCAATTATGTGGAAACAAGGATATAGATGACAAACCACTGCTGACTCTTGGTTATTCAGAAAGCTGACACTCATAAGAATAAGCGTGGAAAAATACATGCAACGTAAGCGATGCATGTACCGTACTATAATACACTAAATGACCCGCCCTATTTTTCCTCAATTTCCTGTTAACAGAAGTATCCAGATTGATCAAATCTGGTATGATGATTATGCAACGCATAGCCGTATTGAGAAATAAAACGAATTTTGATCGGAACTTCGCTAAACTGATTCATCCTAAAAAATGGCACCTCACGACAGGAGATATTATTATCCCCATTCCATAACAGAAGCTGTATGAGTTAGTCATACCTCAGCTGTTAGGAAATATTCAGTTTTACAATACCGAAAAATATTCATGTCAACCAACATCAAGGTGATGCATATAAGTGTTATAATTCCAAAAGGCGGTGCTGGGTTGAGGATAGTCTTTGATTGAGGATTACAGACAGGACTTCATCAATAACACACAACACAGAAATCTCATCAGAAACATACAATAGCAGTTCCTGGCCGCACTACGGGTAATGGATGTAGCAATCGATACTTATTCTTTGAGATATAGCAATCTGTCCTGGGTGATCTTGTTGACTTTTGATCGTTGAAATAAATAACCAACTATGTTACCTACTAATCACAAGTGAGTAGTATCTCACAACAGTAACTGAATTCGTGGACAAGTCAAAACAGAAGAAGGGCATGGCGTTTGAAGTTATCCGAGCAGGAAGAAAGAAAAATACTCAATTAAAAAGGCTTGGGCATCAGTACTAACAATACTAGTGCAAAAGTTTATTAAGCGCCGCAGGTCGTTCGTAAATTTGGGGGCTGACATACATGGCCATCAATCGGAGAATAAACGCGGAGGTTGGTGAAACACCACTTTGCAAGACACGAGACAGCTTTTACGTGCTACTTCTAATCAGGTCCCAAGTGCCTTGAAGTTGGAACGATCGTTGCACTTGTGAGTGTGTGTGTGGTGCGTACAGCAACTGTTAAAAACTGCGCCCAACTTACAATCCAGGAAGATGAAATGAGTAACTTGTACAAGAAACAGAAATATTCATGACCGAATTTCTTCGGGTGGTACTTACACCACCTGGATTTCTGAATGGAATCTTGTGATAAGCAGCAGCGAGAATGAGTTTAACAACTACCACTCTGATGGACTACTGGCATAACCTGCGTGACAGTAACTTAACCTCCATCCATCAAAATATATGATAAATAACTCTACACTGCATCGGTCATAGCGCAGGATAATCAGGACCGCGCTGCCATTGGATCGAGCACGGTAGGCAGTGATCAGTGATTTACTGCTCTGAAATCTCAACCTTTGTTTAACTCTTTCTCTCCTTCGTCCTTTGCCCCTTCTTCCGACCCATAACGTTCCATCAGACAGCTTGTGTGCTACTCGGTAAAGGTTGTTGACAAATAGCATCGTAAGTAGTTCACCACTAAATAATTTGAATATCTTGAAGCCTCGTCAACCTCTCAATCTGGGGGCCTTCAACGTGATGCGGATAGGTCAACAAGCGTGCCTTGCGTGTACAATGAACTCTTTGGAACCGGCTCTGTTGTGTATCAGGGACACGATTTCAAGATCCGAGTAGTATAAGCCATCTGAGTGCACCGGGCCGGTCCTCGATGTATTTCTTTCCCATATCAGAAGACGATGAAGCCCACCACTGGGTTAGCGAGGTGTAGGAATCAAACTTAGCGGTAGAGCTGAGGGTTAACTGATAGATTGGATACTCATCAATTTCCGTTCGTGCGCAGAGATTCCAGGATTCAGTTAGTTTTCGCAGGGGAAATAACAACAAAACGTGTTTGTTCATCATATTGGTATAGCCACCAGCCAACTGCAGTCCCACTTCACAAACGTACGGATTTTAAGACAAACTCGCCGAACTCATTTGGTTGAGCCACAGCTGTGATATGGTGGTGCTGGCAGGTGATTTTAACGCGCAGGTTGGAAAACTGGGCGCATCCGAAGCCCGTCCAGGGAGGGGGCACGTTGCTCGACCCGGCCAGAGAACAGTCAACGGTGATTGACCACTTCAATGCTGCGCAGATAATCGGTAATTCATATCTAGCACCAACTTTCGATGCATTCCTCGTCAGACGGCTAAATGGTGTTTTACTTCAATAGGACATTTGACGCAAATTGATCACATACCTGTAAGCTATCGTTGACGTAGTTGAGTACACAATTAAGGATCCTAATGGACCGCTTGCGTTGAGTTCTGATGCGTTTCACTTTTCAACTCACCAGTCATCGACAGAAATCACCTCCCCAATTACCTCATCATCGTTTGCGTGCTTAATCTAATTGCGCACGTTATGAGGAGAAGCGAGGGCAGGTGCTAGGGGAACCGTAAGGTGGCGGAGTAGATCAACAGTGGGACCAAACCAGACGTGCCATACGTTTGTTTGCGAACTTTGCTTGTAGGGCTAAGCCGGAAGTTTGTCGAAGACACTGGATCCCTCAGGGGTCAATAATCCTGATTGAACGAAAGAGAAAGATCCCAAACGGCCACGACTAAAACAGAAACCGACCGCTCAGTAGAAGCCTTAAAAAAGGTAACGAAAACTTGTGGGCCAGAACAGCCAGAGAAATGCAAGTAGCTTCTGCAACAGGGAATAGTCAAAGACTGTCTCACCTGACACTCGGCATCGGAGGTCGTCACGTACCGGTCCGTGTTCATTGAGAACCTGGCAGCGATCAGCGGAGTTAACCTCTCCGTACCTCGCTACACGAGGACGATGATACCATGAGACTCTTAAAGTTTGTGGTGAAACTTTCGGAATGGTAAAGCTTCGGTTGGCAATTCTCGAAAGTAACCAGACAGCTTAACCTTACTTCGGAACCTGGAACGAGATTTTTCTCTCCGCGATTCCCGAAAAACGATAGAGAACCACAAATTTTCTTACACGATAGTTATACATTCAGTTATACATACAGTTATACATTCAACCCACCTCACTTGAGTGCGGTTGCTGCACCGTAGCATCAGGACCATGAACCAACCGGCTCAGGGCCTGAACTGGAA